GTGGTGAACTGTGAAAAAGAACGCATATCGATTCCAACGTTTTACTGCCCATCGCCGGATGCAGTGATCGGACCTGCTCCAGAATTGGTAACCGACGATCAGCCTGCTGTTTACAGGAAGTTTACATATGCGGAATACTTCGATAAGTTCTGGAACAGAGGGCTTGCAACCGAAAGCTGCTTGGATATGTTCATGGCCTCTTGAACCCTTTTTAAGTTTCTGATTTGATCCATCTATACAAACTCTTTGTAGTGCATCCTTTTCATCAATAAACTCGTTTTATCAAATTAAGTTAATGTTTGGTTCATGGATTTGAATAGAATTGAAAGGAATTGGAATGGCCAAATCTTTTCACCAAATTCCAAATACAATGTTTGGTTTATGGAATAAAATTGATGGAAACCTTTCAATTCCAATAAATTCATTCACTCACAGATTTTACATTTAATGGCAATATCCTTGGATTTCAATTTATTTCCGAAAAATTCCTTCCCTAATCCAAATCCTTTTAACGTTGCGTTTCACATTTCATCTAATTGATCTCTGGTTCGATCTCCATCTGATACGCTCTCACTCTCTCTCTCTCTCTCTCTCTCGCGTAATTTCTTTATCTATACGAGATCGATAGACAACATATGTAATCAAGGAATCGATTCAAGATAACTAGCCATCGATATCACTAGTCCAATTCCGTTATTCAAAAATCATAAAAGGTCATTTGGGGTGCGTTTGGTACGTGGAACAGGGTGGGACAGGACAGGACATGGCACACTTGTCCCATGTTTGGTGTGTTTTTAAGTGGAACTAAGTGGAACTAACCTGGACATGAGTGGGACACGGGTGTTCACCATTTACCCCTGGAACTAAGTGGAACAAGGTTTTTTTTTTTTACAAATCTACCCTCACTCAATCGTGCGCTTCTTCCCCATCGCTCCTCCATATGCAGTGTGCCTCCATTGCACCCTACCTTCTCCTTCATCAATCGGCGACGGGAGTTCTACCTTCTCCTTTCTTCCCCATCGACTAAGTGGACACGAGTTCTACCTTCTCCTTTCTTCCCCATCGCTCCATACAYAGTCCGCCTCCATYGCTATCCCTTCTCCTTCATCAGGTACACGATTGCCCTAATAAATCGGCTGTTTGCTTTATTGCCCTAAATCGGCTGTTTGCTATGTTTGGAATGATTTAGGGTTTGCTATGTTTGAATCGATTTATAGTCATCTTTCTGGTAATCATTTCTCAATTTGATTCAATTTATGCTTCTTTCTCTATGAACTTAAATGCAAGTCCCTGCTTAATATAGTTGCAGCATCACATTTTGTTCATTAGGGTTCTTTTTATTGAAATTTGATCTCTACCTCTTAYAAATCTCAAGTAACAATTTCAGTTTGATCRAGATCTTTGAGTACGCTCTCGTTACTGTAAAATAGGTCACCCTGAATTTTTTATGTCAAAAGAGTACTATTTAGCCTTAGGTGCAAAATTGGTACTAGCTGTGTCACAAACCTTAGCACCGAYAGTGTTCTGTTTGTAGTACTTGTTTGAAGGTTARTGGTGGTCAATAACTATCTTTGCAGTAACTTGGAATCCATTATCAAATTTGAATAGATTGAACTAGTCTTGGTCATGGATGGAAGTTTTTTCAAGCTGTCAATTCTTTGCATATTTGAAAACATCTTCCTTGAAAAAGTTTGATTCTTATCATTACTAAACCTGTTCACCTCTCTTCTACTTTATCCATGTTATCTTAATGGATTTTTACCATTTGTGATTGAAAAAACACTAAACAGTTTACTGGGGGTAAATTGGTCATTTTAACCAGTTCTGTCATGTCCTGTCTTGTCTTACCAAACGCTGAACAGCTGTCCTGTCATGTTCTGTCCTGTCCTGTCTGCGCACCAAACGCACCCTTGTTGACATTTATTTCCGATTCCAAATTTGAATTCCGTGAACCAAACAAAAAAAATTCCAATCCGTTAAGAATTCCATTCCAATTTCATGCAACCAAATGCAATCACAAGGCATGGTCAAATTGCATCAAACTCCATTCCATTCCCTTAAAGTCAAATTCATTTGATGAATTCCAATTCCATTCTATGAACCAAACGCCCCCCTAAGAATCCTCGTTAAACTCAATATTTAATGTTTAGGAGGGATAAATAATACTGTAATCTCTAAAATAGAGAAGCTGTTGGAGATAAAAGTAGTTTTCCATTAAAGATCCGTTTTTACAACATCCATTAAAAATCCATCCTTATCATTTTTTTTTATTTCAATTAAAGATTATTTTTTTATTTGTGACTTGTTCATGTTCGCTGATATGTCTTTTCCATGTGATTTTCGTTAAAGATCAGTATTTTGATTTAAAAAGATATATACAAATTAACGAATAAAATGATTATTTTTAACATTCAAACTATTTATTCAGGATAATAATCATACACCAACATTTTTATTCACTCAAATGAATATTTGGATGATAAAAAAGACATAAAAAAAATGGAGGATACGAAGACAAAAAGGAGGTGGAAATTGGAAGATAGCCAAAGGCCATGTTAAATGATGTCAGAGTAGACGCATACGTTGCAAAATTGAATTGCAAATGCCACCTAAATCTGAACAACCACCTTTGACAAATGTGGGACCCATTAAATTAATTATGCAATTTATTTATATTTGTTTGATAACTAATAATTTATTATTATATTTATAGAAAATAAAATATTATTGTTTCGTCTTTTTTAAATATAAAAAACCTATCTTTGTGAAAAGATGATATTTAAAACTTATCATTATATTATTTAAAAAAACGAACTCAATAGTGATGTGTACTTGCATCACTATTATGTCACGGTTTACGTGTATTATTTTTGCTATCAGTATCCCAAACCGTGAATGAAGCGAAATGTAGAGAAGAGGGTGAAGAGGGAGAAAACGGAGACAACAAAAACGATATAAAAAGGATAAATATAAAAAAAAAATGATTGAGATATTTAATGAAACTGCATAATAAAAAATAACTATAAAAATAAAAAATTTAAATTTAAATTTAAATTATTGAAATTACTAATACACTCTTTATTAATCAAACAAATACAAAATTAATCAATAATTGATTGGTTGAGGTTGGATATATAGAGAAAAAACCTTTAATTTTATTTTCCAAACCCAATAATTCGTGTAAACTATTTTTCATTTATTGTTTAATATATAAAACAACACAAGTAAAATTGCAATATCAGAAACAGTCCAAAATATTTCACGTATAAAACAAAAGGAGTGTTTGGGATTGCTTATAAAAATAACTTATTGACTTGTTTCTGTGTGACACCGATAATAAACATTTTTTAGTGTTTGGATAAATAACTTACACCGATGCTAAACCAGTAATAAAGAGTTTTTGAGTAAGTTAAACCCTTCTAACTTATAATAAATAATTTTATAGAAAAATATAAGTTATTTCAAATAAGCAATACTAAACACGTTTAAAGTTGTATAAACATTATATTTTCATACATATTTATGTATTGACCGACATATTATTCCCTTTTATTTTATGACGTAGGCTGCTTACGCAAGCAAATTCTCGTCATCTCCAGTGCCATCCAAATACACGTCATTGCTTACTTATCCATCGCATGCAACCAAATGATATACATAATAATTTAATAATAATTATTATTATTATTATTATTATTATACTAAGCAAAAGTTAAATAAAAATAAAAATATAAGCAAACTACAAATTTCGTCTTTTGTGGTTTGTCAAAAATAACTCAGAATTTTTTAAAAGTATATTTTATATATGATAAATACAATAAATAAACTCATTCATCATTCTCATCATTAATAAGGTTTGAATCTCTGATCTTCTGGAAATCAAGAGGTTCAAATACCGCTAAAACAATGGTTCTTTAATTGATTTAATAGAAATTCTTAAATATCATTATAGAAAGGAATCAAATCTAGACATTTTTACAGACAGTGATTCTGAATTATAATCTAAAATCTATAAAAAGTGTTATTTTTGGAAAAAAAAAATCTCCTACCAAAATAATAATCATTTAATAAAAATTAATTTTAATTCCATCTCCCATGGCTATATAATCTTCTTCATCCACGTTAGAATCCCATATCTCTGCAACAATGGCTGCCTCCTCCAACTCTAAGCCATTACTGGTCAGCGACCTCGTTTCACATAATAAAATCGATCAACTTCCTTCCAACTTCATCCGCTCCATCGCCCAACGCCCAAATCTTCAGAATGTTTCCCATGATTCCATCCCCTTAATCGATCTCCATCATCTCGAAGGTCCTGAACGCTCCACCGTCGTCGATCAAATCGGCCAAGCATGCCGTCACCATGGCTTCTTCCAGGTCAAGAATCATGGAGTACCGGAATCCGCCGTAGCCAACATGATGCAGGTCGCTAGAGAATTTTTTGGGTTGCCGGAAGAAGAAAGACTCGAGACTTACTCCGACGACCCCACCAAGACAACAAGACTATCCACCAGCTTTAATATACGAACCGAAAAGGTTGCTAACTGGAGAGATTTCTTGMGACTCCATTGTTACCCGCTCGAGAACTACATCCATGAATGGCCCACCAACCCATCTTCCTTTCGGGACCAAGTGGCGGAGTATTGCCGGAAAACAAGAGAGTTATCACTCCGATTGATTGAAGCCATTTCAGAGAGTTTGGGTCTCGAAAGGGATTACATCAKCAAACAAYTGGGGAACCATGGTCAGCATATGGCYTTGAATTACTACCCRCCATGCCCACAACCAGATTTRACCTACGGATTGCCTGGACATACTGATGCTAATCTGATCACCATTCTTCTTCAAGATGATGTTGCAGGTCTTCAGGTTTTGAGAAATGATCAATGGGTTGCTGTTGATCCTGTTCCCAACACCTTCATCGTCAACATTGGTGATCAAATGCAGGTATTGAGCAATGATAAATACAAGAGCATTTTGCATCGAGCTGTGGTGAACTGTGAAAAAGAACGCATATCGATTCCHACGTTTTACTGCCCATCGCCGGATGCAGTGATCGGACCTGCTCCAGAATTGGTAACCGAYGATCAGCCTGCTGTTTACAGCCAATTCACATATGAAGAATACTACAATAAGTTCTGGAACAGAGGGCTCGCAACCGAAAGCTGCTTGGATATGTTCTTGAAGCTTTGAGCTTCGATTTCTACAACTCTTTTCGGTTTTAGTTTCTGATTTGATCTATCTTTAAAGAACCCTTGTACTGCATCTTTTTCATCAATAAACTCGTTTTTCAGCAATATTATTGTTCTTCAAAACTTTTGTACAGTTTACCTACGTTTTTCCATAAACACAACACAGTCCCCGTTTACCAAACATTTAACCCGGTAAGACTTACCAAGTTATATTATCTTACCACAGATGGATATGGCAAGGATCAAAAATCTTATCCACGCAAAAAAAGGATAACCGAAAAACCATACCATACAATGATGATAGTAGATAAATGAATTCCTAACAACATAATCTTGGAACACTACAAGAATCATGCAATCAAAAAAATCTGATAGCTCAAAAAAGTTGCATAATCAAGCTGATGGTTTTATTCTCTCTCAATCTGGATTGTAACATGACTGATGTTGTATTCCCTCCTGATGTAATCGACCACCTTATTGAGCACCATATCCGCATTCGCTTCACGACTGATCTTCACATGGCACGCTAACAACACTTTCCCGACTGTAATCGCCCAAATATGCAATTCGTGGATTGCAACCACTTCATCTATCTCACAAAGACCTCTTTCTAGACTTGTTGCATCTATCTCTCTCGGTGTGCTTTCCATCAGAACCTCCAAGATATCGCGTAACATGTTGATGGTTGTATACAAAACTATAATGGAAAACAAAAGTGTGCAGATTGGATCAACGATTCTCCATTTGGGATTGTACCAGATGACCGCAGCCCCAATCATTACACCGATACTTTGAATGGAATCGCCAAGAACATGAAGATATGCACCTTGAACGTTTATATTATTCCGTTTTGATTTCAACAATGGCTGCCTTTGATCTTCATGACCATCATGATGACTTCCGCTATGGTGGTGGTGGTGGTGGGGTTGTTTCGTGATGACGCTAAGTCCATGGATATGGATGTTTTCAACGTCTTCTTCACTATGATCATGGTCACCATGGCCATGATGATGGCCGTGGCCATGATCATGGCCGAGTATGAAGATCATGAATATATTCACAACTAAGCCAACAGCAGCAATTCCAAACATGAGACTGCCTTCAACTTCAACTGAACCATGAAGGAGTCTATCAATGGCTTCATAAACAAGAATCCCAGTAAGCAGCCATATCAGCTGAATGGAAACCAACGTTCCAAGAATCTCGATCCTGAAAAACCCATATGATTGGCGAGGTGTGGCTTCCCATCCTGAAGCCCAAACCGAAAATAAAGAGATTGCAAAAGCTGCAACATCCGACAACAAATGAGCTGCATCTGTTAAGATTGCAAGACTGTTTGCTTTGATTCCTCCCACTACTTCTACCGCCATGAAAATGAAACAGACTACAACCCCGCCTCCTAGCTTCCACATGGAAGATGAACGCTCTTCGGCGTCCATAGAACTGGTTTTGTTATCTGAGAATCCGCATGATGCTCCTGCACAAACTTTACTCCTAACGTAGCTATTCTCTGCAGATGGCACGTTTATGTCGATAGCATGACGACCATGTTTAAGATCCATCTGCAATCATGTTATATTGTATAAGAGAAGGTTCGGTTCTGCTATTATATAGAAAAAAAAATCCTAGAAACACAATAGAAAAATCACAATATAATAAAAACAGTTGCATTCACAAAAGCTTGAAGTAAGAAATGCCCTATAAATTACGTAAGACATTGCCACAAGTCCACATCGATTCAACAATGCCACAACGAATGAATGTTTGTGTGAGAATACACAAAACCCCATTGGGTTACCCACCAAAAGAGCCGTTGAGGAGAGAAGAGGGTTCTAACATACATAGAAAAAGTCTATCCGAAATGGGACTCTAAGACCACCCCTCAAACAAAGGCTAGACCGGCACAGATCGAGTCCTGGTACCAAGTCATAATATGTGTAACCTTATTAGGTCACTCTTCAAAAAGAGCCATTGAGGAGAGATGGAGGTTCCAACATATACAGAAGTGAAATGGTTTAAGGGACTGTGTGGTTGGTTTTCCATTAAGCTTTATATGAATAAAGCTATCTGTCTGTGTAGATTGGGAAGATTTTTGTTTTGGAGAGTTCTTTCAGAGATGAAAGGAAGTATTTTGTATTTATTAGAAGGGTCGTGTTAGGAAAAAACATGGCTTTTTGCATAATAAAGCTCCCTTACTAAATAAGCCACATTTTATACCATTAAGCCACTACCAGAAGTTATGTATAGCTGTATGAATAAGATGCGAGTCCCATTAAGCTGCTAACGAACACAGGTCCAAGAGACCTTAAACAACCAGAGTGCAACCATTAAACCTGTATATATGTATACCCCATAAGGGATCTTTTAGACATTTCAAATGGATTTAACATATCCTAACACATACGTTGCAATTCAAGTGCAGGTCACTAGAATCTGAAGTTAACACTTTTATAAGAATAGGATCAAACCCAGAAACACAACACAGAAATAAAAAGTATCAACAGCATCAGATGCTTCAGCTTCAACATGTCGCCATCAACAAATGTATGTAAAACATATACAGAAATAAAGAGAAGAATCAAAAGGAGTGAACTAAAAGGATTAGAGATTGACGATGCCCTTTGAAATGCAAACACAGCAGATTTACCGTTGGAATCAAAGCCACCAAACAGACGTTGATCAGGGTCTTCACTGAATTTATGTACACGTACGTATAGAGGAGCAAAATTCACGCAAACATATGAACAAAAGAGGGAGGAATACTACTTCACGATCATCATATGTGGAAACGAAAAGGGTTCTAACGAATGTGGATAAAAAGCCAAAATCAGAGGTGCTGATGGATTCAGAATGATTGAACGTAATGTATAGAGATAGATATACGAGAGATACGCAATTCAAGAATCTAGAATGTAGAAGATAAGGGTTTACCTTTGAAATTTATGGATCTTGGAGGGATGAATTCTCAGGATGCATAACAGAATGATTAGGTCATCCAAAGGTTTTTCGAATTCCTTCGTTTGGTTACTGGAAATAGATAGCAATGGGATCATCGTTTGAAATTCTGGGGAAAAAAGGTTGGCAAAGAACAAAGAGTAAATTACATTTTTGGTCCTTCTGATTGCAATTTATTATCAAATATCCTTCCTATTTTGAAATAATTACACTTTTGATCTCTTTGTCTAATTCATGTTAAAAGAAAAGTTCGTTTTGGTATTTGTATCATTTTATCTTATTTTAATCTATCATTAACTTAAGAGGGATTTTGGTGTATAAATGGATAATATCGTTGATAGTAATATATATATATATATATATATATATATATATATACATGAAAGCCATTTGGTTTGTCTTATCTGGTGGGAATAGCCATCGTACCTTAGACTAACCTGACCACCTGCCCACTCATCTTCGGAAGGACCAGTGAGGCAACGACTACACCAATCATGTTCATATCTACTTTGAATGTGTTTTGAATATTTGGTTCACATCATTCTCTTTATTAGATCCGTCTCACCATCGTCATGGACTAACCCCCAAGCCACCTCCACAGTCATTTGTCAACTTTCCTTGAACCATATTTCTTCTTCATACGATTGTTCCGGTGGAAGTCAATGAATCTTGGAAATTAGTCCAAGAAGAGAGATAATGGTGACTGGTGGTGGTTGTGTTATAGATGAGACAATGACACCGGTTTCATGAAAAAAAATATATGGAGATGACAAGTGTAAAAACAAAAACCCTAGAACTCTTGTATCCAAAGACAAAGCATTATCGAGAGAGATGATGGACGTCTATTGAAGACCTCCTCTAACCACCTGATTCTTCCCATGCATGGTTGGAAGAACACCTCCATCTCAAATATATATGGTTCATCAATTCGGATTTGTTTGAAAGATTTGGATCTAGTTCTTAATATTGATGCTAGCTATATAGCTCTACTGAACTTGCCGCTTCTTCAAGTTTATTGACAATAATCATGTGTAATTTATGGTGGATTTTGTTTTTATTGTTCTTTAGGTTTGTGAAATAGGGTTATTTCTTTACCTAGAACATGACCGACATTTTGATCTGAATTTGGTTTGTTTTGGGTTTATTTAGCCGGATATGGAGATAGCTTTTCAATCTGGATTTGTTTTGTCGGATAAGATGACAGGAGGGAGAGAAGGGTGGTGTTGTCATATATGCGGGGTGGTAGTCATGATGACGACATTGGTGGCATGGTAATCGGGTGGCTGGGGAGTGGGTGGGAGTTAGATTAGTGGCGGGGGTGGGTAGTGGGTGACACCGTGATACTAAGGGTAGTAGCAAGGTCGTAGTACGGATGTGCAATGGATGACTGGGAGGTGGGTGGGTGGGTGGGTGTGATAACAACAGTAATGACATGGTGGTTAGTGGCGGGTTGGGGTAGGATGGGTGGGCGGCGACAATAGTGGTATGGTGGTGCGGCGTGACGAATAATAGTAGCATGGTTGGGGTGGGGCAAGTGATGGGCAGTGATAGAATTCAATTCATTTCATTATGCCAAAAATGATGAATTTAATTGATTTGTGGAATCCAATGGAATTTGAAGGATTCCATCCATTTCAAGGGGTGAACCAAACAAATTAATTGGAATTTGGTCAAAGAAATTTGTCATTTCAATTTCATCAAATTCCTTTAAATTCCGCAAACCAAAAAACCCCTAAGAGAGTGTTTGGTTAGAGATATTAAGCGGTAATTAACGGAATCGGAAGGTGTTTGGACAGTAATTAATATGATTGAAAATAAAAGAACCTGTTTAGTTTTATATAATATAATGGGCTCATTCTCGTTAAATCCCCAAATTTAAAGAGAATGAAAGTTCATTCTCATTTTTATTATCTGTCATTGTCATTGTCATTGTCATTTTCATTCTCTATTATTTCATTTTCCATTCCCTACTTGGACCAAACAACCCCTGACATGTCTTTTCAACCTCAATATTTTATAAAAATCGTAAGGAAATTAATTAAAATAGTCATTTTTACAAGTTGGTGTCATCTTTTAGCTACTTCTTTACAAGGTTTACCAAAATAGTCATAGGACCGCAATTTTAATTTCCAAAATCTTAATGTTTTGGAATTTCCATAAGAAAAGGATATTTATAATATATGCAAAACCTAATGAGTTTTCCTATTTTAAATTATTAAGTTCTTGAATTTCTTTTTATGAATAAATTATTGAACTTTCTCGTCTTGGATACTAAGTCAATGAACATTTTGTTAATAAATAAACCATCGAACTTGTAAAAATGCGTTACTTGCATAACTTTAACCCGAAAAAATTAGTTGTAACCGGGTAGAAAAGTTTTAAAGTAACAACTTAAATCAATTTTTTCCATTCTCAAACCTTATGTTACTCAAACCCTCGCACCCAACGGCATCGCTTCCCCCGTCGGGTCATCACCGCCCGTTCTCCATACGCCCATCCCCGTCATTTACCCCTGCCAACAACCTCCGTCTTTTTTATATGTTTTTTTTCGTTAGATTCTCTCTCTTTTCCAACAATTTAATGTAATATGTAAAGACAAATCAAAAAGGGGGAAAAGAAAAAAAACAAATAAAAAAGAGAGAGATTTATAGCAAGGGATACCGGTGGTGGTGGAGAGCAAAAGACGACGATGGGAGCATTTGCGTTAGGAATGAGAACGAGTCGGATTCGTGCCTGTTATTGGTATCCCCGTCACGAAAACCGATAACCAAAACCGTCCCTGATCCCCACACCATCCTTGATAAAAAGGCCTTGAACTAGGCCCAAAAATTTAAATTTTTGGTTTTCACCATGGGTTTCGGTTTTTTTACCATCCTGGCATTGGATGTGAGGGGTTTGAATGACATAGGGTTTGGATTATGTAAAATTAATTTATGTTCTTTTATTTTAAATATTTTTAGTCAATTACAATTAGTTTCTTAGGCTAAAAGAATATATATAACCAAATTCTAGAAGTTTGATAGTTTATTTATTTAAAAAATATTCAATGACTTGATTATTAAAAAATTGAAAATGTTTAATGATTTCTTTATTCAGAAAAATAATTCAAAAGCTACCTTATTTTTACCTGACAATTCCTTAGTGAAATCATTAATTTTTATTACATGGTCTACATTCAGGTTATATTTTGAAAATGTCATTCAAGTCATTGTCATATTAACTTCGATAATAAGATATTTGCCTACCATGACGGCGACATGTGGCATAGAATAGAATTCAATTACGAAAAGAAGATCTAGAAAACGACTATCACAAATTCAAATACCGTAAAGCACCAAAATTTGTAGTTTGATTCCGATAAATATACAAATTACATCACAATTATATCTAAACATGATACCAAATTAAAGTTTTTGTTAACATGACAGACTGTTTTAGAAACAAATTATTGAAAATTTTGATATCAAAATATTTTATTGGGACAGACTTTTAAAACGCGCTGATGATTTTTTATTTAAGATAAATATTTGAAATAAGAAAATCATAAGTTATTTATGTCTTCTTGAACATAATGTCACTTAACAGTTTTATTTATATCTTGCGAGAC